CTTATGATTCCTTCTTTCTTTTAGCTTAAAACCCGTGTAAATGCATTGTTAGTTTGGCAATCAAGTAGCATAGGTTTCGTATTTACTTTTTGATATTTTAGCAGGCGGTCTTCTCCTTTTGTCCTCAATGATGAGTAATCTACATTAGCATACATATCCTTTCTAGGGCATCTGTGATGCTGTCTACTGATTTTATGAAACAGATGGATTTCCTATCATCTGTATGTTCCAAGTTTTGGGTGGGTTGGTATGAAGGAAAATGTTTTTCAGAAAATGCTTGGTTGAATTAAATGTTTTGGGAAATATTTTCCAAATCAACTTATTTTCCTCAAATTTAAGGAAAATGACTTTTCTTAAAAAAGTAAGGAAAATATTTTCCAAAATCATTTTCAATCTCACACCACAACTTTCCATCCTAACTTAAGTCTCGGGTATCGATTCTCAATACTAATCCTAGGTTCGGCTCCTAATTCTCAATTCGAGACATGACTCTCGACCTCGATTTGAGACCCAACTCCTTAGTTTCAGATTGAGATGGGGTCAGATCTGGAGTTAGGATTAAAGGTCGAATTCCAGGTCAAGTGTCGGGGTTGGGATGGGGTTTCGAGTATCGGGTGTTGGGGTCGGGGTCGGATCTCGAGGAAGATACCGATCCAACGAATGTTGGGGTCGAGAGTCGGGTCAAGGTTGGGGTCAGGTCTCATGTTGAAGTCGAGTCTCGGGTTAGGTGTCATAGTCAGGGTCAGGTCTCTAGTCGGGGTCGGGTGTCAATGGTGGGGTTGGGGTCGGGTGTCACAGACATGGTCGAGGCCAGGGTTGGGTGTCGGGGTCAAGGTCAGGTCTAAGGTTGGGGTCAGATCTTGGGTTGAGTGTTGGGGTTTGGATCGAGTGTCGGGTCAAAAGTTGGATCCTTAATCAGATGTTGGGGTTGGGAGTTGGGGTCGGATCTGACGAGGTCGGATTCTGATTCAAAAGTTTGATCTTGAGTCAGATGTAGGGATCGAGAATCAGAGTCTGGTCTCAAGTTAGGGCTGGATCTCCAAATTAAGGTCGGGTCTCAAGTCACGGTCAAGTTCGGGTGTCGGGATCATATTCCAGTTCGAATATTAGGTCTCGGCTTGGGAGTTGGGGTTAAGTCTTACGATCGTGTGTCCATTCGAGTCATGGCATGTCCCAGTTCGAATATGGTGTCGGGAGTAGGGGTCATGTCTTGGATCGACTGTCAGGGTTGGGTGCCGGATCAATAATCGGGGTTGGTTTTCAGTTGAGAAAATAATTTCCTAAAAAGTATTTTCTACTCTCTAGCCAAAAAGATGAAAGATATTTTCCAAAAAAAGGTTTTTCATTCTCCAATCATATTATATTTTACACTCATCAACCAAACATGAAAAAATAAGTTAGAAACCAACTTATTTTCCAAGAAAACATTTTCCTTCCTACCAAACACACCCTAGACACAAGCACAAGAAGCACCAATTTGTTTAAATTAGTAGTTTCTTGGTTGCCCCTCTATATATCCATGTATCTTTTTGTATATATGTTTCCCGAAGGGTCACTTGGTTTTAAATGTTGTTTCTTCTTCTTTGTAGCTGTTTTGCTGGGACTATGGATTTGTATAAATCCTACCTAGTAGTACATAATATTTGGTAATGATTTAAAGGGTCACGCCACCATATGATATAGTTACAATTAAAAAAACTAGATACAATTAAATAATAATGTGAAAAGTAAAAAACAATTTAATAATTTATTAAACATATTAAACAATATAGCTATTATAATTATTAATTAATCATAACACTCCCTTTGTGCCAATTTATGTGATTATTTAGTCTCAAAAGGAATATCACTTTCTATGTGATTATATATATATATATATATATAAAAAAAAGAGAACCCTAGGCCTGCCTATGTGGCTCCACCACAAACCAGGATTCCTTTTTAATTTATTTATTTCCAAACTAGCCTTCCCCTTTCATGAAAAGTTGTGATTTTTATGAAAAGTTGCGACGTTTATGAAAAGTTGTGTCTTTTATGGAAGGTTGTGACCTTTCCAAAGGGTTGTAACTTTTCCTAAGAGTTGTGACCTTTCCGATAAGGCACAATAAGTATTTGTTCACACTATCCTTTGTAGTCTATAAATAGAGGGAATTCCTCTCATTTTAAAACAAACTGTGATTTTTTCCTTTATGTTTCATTCTATTGGTTACAGATCCTGGTATGTTTTTTTACCGTCATTAATTTATTAATTTAACATACAGATCCTGGTATGTTATTAATTGTTGTTTTTGAATACATGTTTTAAATTTTGTTTTTTATATTTCTGCAAAGTTATTGTTATAAGTATTTGTTAGTACAAATTAAATAACACACGTTAATTGAGTATTCATGCAAGTTTTCTTTATTGAAATTGTTGAATGTACAATAAAAAAATTCCTTAATGATCTATACTAACATCTCTCGAATACAAAATTCAAATTTGGTATGCCATTGTAAGGACATAAAGACCTTAAAAATGTTATTGCCAGGAAAAGAAGACAAGAATTAATAAACTTTTGACATGGGTTCAAGGATAAATTATAAAATCAAATTAAAGATGATTGGATTGATTGAACGATAAATGATAAGATGTTATAATTATCGGTTTTCTTTACATTATTAATGTTTGTTACTACGTAATCTTTTATGTAACATAATATTGTGTTTTAGTTTTAATGACTAATAGTTTTATGTACTATTTTATAAATTTCGTGATATTTTTATGTATTATTTTATAAATTTCGTGATATTAAATTCCGCGCAAGGCTCGGGTAAGTTTACTAGTTAGAAATAATTTAACTTTAAAATATTCCTTTTATGCTTATGAAATGATGATTTATAGTCCTACAAATGTCTAAAGTTTGTCAATTTCAAACGTGCCAAGTGTCAGCTTTTGCTTTTGCTTTGCAGGATGGTTAGCATGTGGGAATTCATGTTTAGTCATCACAAGAACCAGCTGCAGTTGGCTACTGATCTCAAAGCCATTGAAATCTCCGGGTTCCCCTTGGAAACAAGCAAACACCATCATGAACGTACTATCCAGCTTGGTAATGTTATCAAGGAATGGCATGATCATTTTGACAACCTTGTGAAAAATCAAAAGCTATACATCCAAACACTCCACAGCTGGTTGAAGCTAAATCTCATACCCATTGAAAGCAGCCTAAAAGAAAAGATCTCGTCGCCTCCTCGAGCACAGAGTCCCCCAATTCAAGCCCTTCTCCACTCCTGGCAGGAACTTCTTGAGAAGCTGCCTGATGAGCTCGCCAGAAGTGCCATTGCTTCCTTTGAAGCAGTGATAAGGACCATCATTATTCATCAGGAGGAAGAGATGAAGCTGAAGGATAAGTGTGAGGAAACTAAAAAAGAGTACATACGCAAAAGGCAAGCATTTGAAGATTGGTACCAAAAGTATATGCAACGTAGAACTCCACCCGATATGACAGATACCGATAGAGCTACAGAGTCCAACCCAAAAGATCCCGTTGTGGAAAAGCAGTTGCTTGTGGACACATTGAAGAAGAGGTTGGACGAGGAGACAGAAGCTCACCAGAGGCTCTGTATTCAAGTTAGGGAGAAGTCATTAGGGAGTCTCAAGATCCGGTTGCCTGAACTATTCCGAGTCATGTCGGAGTATTCTTATGCATGTCTAGAGGCTTATGGTCGATTAAGATTGATTGTACAGTCGCAGCACTCAAATGGGAGTTCACAAGGGTCTTAGGCTCTCCTTTCTTTGCCCCTTTTTGATGTTGTTGTTGTGATCTTTTGTAGTAACTAGTAAATGTGAAATGTAAGTTATTCCTGGATAGTGTTTTATGTATTGCTGATGTTTTGCCATGTATTGTATGAAAAGCGGCATCTTGATTTGTTTATCGACCTCATGAACAACAGCAAATATTTGATTGTACTGATGTTTCTTGGAGTCTCTCAACATATGGAATAGTCCCATTTGAGCACTTGCAATCTTTTTGTGCATAATATTTGAAATGTAGTCATTTGAGTTAAAGTAATATGCACAGTCAGTTACATAATCAAGTCATCTTTACCTATTGAAGTAGGTAATGTGTCTTATTTTTAAGTTTTAATGATATTTACTTGTAAGTTTATGTTTTGAACATTACAAATTTTACATTTTAAAGGAAAACTTGTAGATATTTTTCCTTATAGTGTATAAAGTTTCTTATACTGATATATACTTTAAACTAATTTGAGATTTGTGGAAGGGGGCTGGTGTATACATACATTACAAATGTGTGTTCACCTCAGCTATGTGGGTCCCACCTTACAAAAACTCGTATCTGTGCCCGAACCAGCAGTCATATTTATGAATCTCTTGTTGTACGATGTGTGTGAATTCGGATTAGTCGAGTTTTAACGTGGATATCAAAGTCATATTTATAATACTTGGTACGATGTGCGCGAATCCAGATTAGTCGGGCTCCAATGTAGATGTCAGTCATATTTTATTGAATCTCTTGTTGTACAATATGCGAATCTGAATTAATGAGCCAATACGGATATGAAAAAAAATAAAATTCTCTTACGGTATCTAATGTAAATTTTCACCTAAAAGTTCTCCAATGGCTTCATTAAAGGTAATAACATATTAGACTTTGGAGGAGTTATATCATACAAAACTATATTTAAATTGATTGAGATAACCATAACAACAAATCAGAGTGGCGCAGCGGAAGCGTGGTGGGCCCATAACCCACAGGTCCCAGGATCGAAACCTGGCTCTGATATTAATTTAGAGTGGCTTCCAGCGTCTATTTTTTTTTCCTTTTCTTTTGATGACACAATTTTGCAAAAAATTCTATTTTTTTCTTTTGTTTTGATGACACAATTTGGCAAAATATTTGGAAATTCAGATCAAAGACGGTTTTAAAAACGAATTATGTGATTTGTATTTGTATTCTCTAGATATATGCAAAAAAATCTAACTTATACAAAACATAATAGTATATGAATAAGTTGCCTCTTTACTAAAAGACCCCTTCCAATAGTGTATTTGTTTTCACATTTAACAATTTAAATGGACGCATGCCATTACTATAAGGTGTTCCAATGGCTTTCAAAATTTTCACATACTTGCAGACTGAAGAAATTCCCAAAATGATTTTATGATCTAATCTTCATTATTACATATCACGTACTCACATGGAGCGATAACATAGATTCATATAGTCAATCCCAACTGGTTTGCGATTGAGGCACAATTCTTTTATCAATATAGTCAATTAAACTCATCAACTTGCTTAGTGTTGGTGGCTGCAATTCTTACATCCTGTTCCTTTGTTTTGATTCTTCAACTCAACTCCAGCTACCAGAAAGAATGCAGTGTGCCTGAAAATCAAACGAAATGTAACTATTGCGAAAGCGAATCAACTATGTGCATACATAGTTCAGATGACATTAGCTTATATATACCTAAAAAAGTTGATCATTTTAGTTTTGGAATCTTCATCAACATCTGCAGCACTGTCCAGTGTTTGTTGCATATGGTGTAACCATCTCTCTGCAGCCTTATGAGTTACTGGAAACGTGCGGTGGCGTCCAATCAATGCTGTATGGCCTGCACAAAGTTCAAATAAACACTACAAATGAAAGTTTCTCAAGCCATCTTGCTGACAGTTTCTTTCTCTGTTGCACAACTAATTAAAAAGCTAACTAATTTTCATTCTTGAAATGTTCCAGACACAATAAAAGGGATCAGAACTTAGGTAACGTTTCGTTGTTGGTTAGAATTATACAAGTATTAGTTATGCAAGATTTAGTAAAATAATACATAGATTCCCTTATAACTTATACATGTAACAGTTATGCGGGATTGTAAACTGATAACAACATGTCATACTTGATGTGCTGAATTTTATACATAACAACTAAAATGCTACCAAACGTGGTACTAATTTAATACATGAATATAATTCACTTCCTAACCAACAACAAACGACCCCTTAGTGTTGTTCAACAGACAGTGTGGTGCTAATAACACTAGTTCTGTTCAACATAAACCTTGAAGATACTATAAAATGGGAACCATTTGGAGAAAATGCTTCATTTCCTTTGCAAATAATCTACTAAACTTGAAGGATACCATAGCCCCAGGCAGTGGCGGATCCAGGATTTTTGCTAAGGGGGTTCGAAGTATAAAGAAGAAATTTAGGTGGTAATGCAAGTGCGCGGTGAGCGTAGTAGCCCCTCGGCATGCTCTTTGTACACGAACCATAGATATTTCATTGGTTCATAAAAGTAAAGACTAAGCTAATCAAAGATATCGAGAACAAAGTTGCATTGATAAGAATTTTAGTGGATCGACTGTATTACATAAGTTAATTCCTAAAACACATGAAAATTAAATGATGAAAAAGGGAGCGAGACGGGGAAGAAAAATATTTAGCTTATCATGCTAAATTTAACTCACTTTATCATACCGTATTAAACATTTCTTTTTACTTTTATCATGCTCCATCGAGCATTCTTAAAATTTCTTATGCTTTTTATACTTTTATTTTGTAATGTTTTACTTTATATTTCACTTTTTAAAAATTTTAAATTAATATCCATTCAATCAAATATTACTATGAAAATCGTCAAAATTCTCTAAAAGTAGTGTGTAAGAATAGAGTTACTAATATTATAATGCATATTATTAATATAAATAAATATCATCGTCAATTTTTTTAGTTCATATAGTTCAATTTACTAGGTTAGTCATAATTTGTAAAAAAATAAATAAATAACGAATAAATCAAATAAGTTTAGTTTTCATCCCACTAAAATAGAATTAAAAATATAAAAGAAAATTCATGAATTCTATTAAATTAATATTTTTAAAAGGACGTTGACGATATTTAAGTTTCTTCATTCAATTACATCTAATTTACATTTTTTTTTAAAAATAAACTATATTTCTATCTCAATTTCAAGTTAAATATAATTCATCATTTTTTTTAAAAATTTATTCAAACATATATGAAAAAGAGTTACGTTGAAACTAAATGAATAATAGATATAAAAAGAATAAAATATAAAAATAAAAAGAATGTGTCTAATAAATTTAAACAAAAATAAATTAAAAAAAAGAAATGGAATAAAAGGAAAAAATAATGAAAAAGAAGAAGAAGGTCTAAGCCCAAAAATTCCATTTTCCAAAGCTAATATTAAAAAAGGGAAAAAATGTTGCCATTGGGACTTGAACCCATGACATAGGGGTGCTACATGAACCACTTATCCATGGAGCCAAGTCTGTCATTTGTTTTCAGGGGGTTCATTTTAATATATATACACATAAAATCAGAATTTGATGTTATATATACAGTGTAATTTTTTGACGAGGGAGTTCGGGTGAACCCCCTGGGCTCTACCTAGGTCCGCCCCTGGCCCCAGGGGCCAGGGCTTTGGTCCAGTGATAAGAGCACAACATATGATGTGTGGATTAATCACGTGTCACCGGTTCAGATTCAGCCATCGACAAAAACCATATATTTAACTGAATAAGGATAGAAGGGTGAGTCCATTTTCGAACCATACAATACTAACCCTCAAAGATTTCTCGATTATAAAAGGATAAGTTTACAATTGACACTGATATATATAACCTAGAACTTGAGAAGTGTACAAACAAGGTCTTAAGAGAACTCTTCATTACCTTTCCTCTGTGAGTACAAATTAGGCCCTCCCATTCTTTGCACAAAGAACTCATACTGATTCCTAATGGCTTCTTCTTTATTTGAATTCGAGAAAATTGATCGAAACCACTCTTCCTCATCACCATACACCCTAATTTCAAGTCCAAAAACAAGAGTCAAATTTCTACCCTCATCAAGGATAACAAAAAATAGATAGTAATATAATGTAGCAAATAAATTACTCAATTCTTTTAGAAATACAATAACTTAAAAGTCCACTCTTTCGAGTGGAGGGTCTATCAAAAGAAACAAGCTCTCTATGTCCACAAAAGCTAGAAGTAGTAAGATAGGCATACAACTAATTAATCTCTCTAGATTCCATTTGTGAAATACATTTTTTTTGGTTTCCTTCTCAGTGTTCAATATTCACATTGGAGCCGACTAAATCCAAATTTGCACGAAATCATACATTTGGGGGTAATGCGCTTCCTTACTAAGATGACTCCATATAAGAAGACTCAAACTCGAGATTACTCTGGTCAAATATGAAGCAATATTTACCACTCCACTCTAACCTAATTCGTTGATGAAATAGCACAGAAATTAACATAATTAAAGAATCAAATATCTTGAACACATATAAACCTCCCTTTCCCCTCCCAAATAAACCAATAAAACAGAAAGCTCAATTCAACAAAAGCCTCAAACTTTAATGAGTTTTCTTGAATACCAATTTGAAGAAATTGTACACACATCAAAAAACAATTACTGTAATATATTTGGGGTTTGGGAATGGACCTGTTGTAGAAATTGGTAGATAGATTGATGAAAGTTTGAAGACCAAGTTTTTCAAAGAGATTAATCTCATCAATGGCAACTGCATCCTTTGGATCAACTCCACTCCATTCTGATGCCTTTTGCTCTAAAGATACCATTTTTCTTCTATGGTGATATGGCAGTATGCTAGTGCTCCAATTTTTTCTTGGATACTAAAATTTGGAGAGTGACATTTCAGCAGTGGATAATTTATCCACATTGTAATATTTTTTACTCTGAATTCGGCGTAAATTATTAGTTTCATCTTTGAACTATTGATAGTTACCTTAAAAACACCCATTTACTTAGCTAACTGAACTTAAATACACCCCTAAATTCTCGCAAAATTTAGGATATTTTCTCACCTCCCTCGGTTTTTTATTAAGTGTCATGTGCTTTTACAAGAGTGTGAGACTATTTGTTATGTCATGTTGCATATATCGAAGTGTATCTAAGTTTAGTTAGTCAAGTAGACGGGTGTACGAATGTCAATAGTTCGGGGATAAAACTAATAATTTGCATCAAGTTCAAGAGTATCTTCAATACTTCTCTCAAAAATAAAGTTTGAGTAAAAATACTATTTTTAAACTTATTTATAGTAAAAAATTGAGATAAGTGTTAAATACATATCTAAACTATCTTTTTTTTAGTTTCATACTTAAACTATTGAGAGAGTGAGTTTCATACCTAAACTATCACTTATTAGTTTGAGAAACACACTTCAGTGTGTAATGCACTCTCTTCTTTATTTGAAAAAATATTGACACATGACATTCCACATGAATAAAATATTCCACCTTGACAAATATTAATTAAAATTAAAGATTAAAGTATTACTATCCCAAAAAAATTTTTCCAATGTCTATACCAACATTCACAAAAAAAATTGATATTATTTTATTTTAAAAAAAATAAAAATTCTACCCCATTCTATTTAACCCTCCGCTCATAATTTATTTATTTATTTATACATTTTTCTCGTTTTGTGTTAGATATGTACATATATTTGTAGGAATTTTTTTCGTATAAAATATAACATAAATAAAAAATTTATTTTAAAAAAAGTCTTGCGGCGGCAAGTAAAACATATTTTTGATATGTATATATCTAACACAAAACGAGAAAAAAATTGGAAGAGGAGGGTTAGAGAAAGGAAATTTAAACCAAAGGGGGGGGGGAGGGTACGGTGAGAGGAAGTGATGGAGTGGAGTAAGAAAAATATTTTACATTTTATTTTATAAAAAAAATATTGTTTTGGGATAATAATTTTTCAATTTTTACTTTTAACTAATACTTAATTTATTTAATTTTTGCCAAGATGAAATGTTTTGTCCATGTGCAGTATGATGTTACAATCTTTTTAAGTAAAACAGATAGTGTATTACACACACCATGATGAGAGTGTTATAAAAGAGAGAGGTGTGTTTCTCAAACTTATAAGTGATAGTTTAGGTATGAAACTTACACTCTAAATTGTTTAAGTATGAAACTAAAAAAAAGTATAATTTAGGTGTGTTTTTTACACTTACCTCTAAAAATGTTTAAAGAACAACTAAAAGTTTTAGTAAAACTAGTAAAGGAAAAATCAATTTTCTTTTTTATAGTACGTTCAGGCAGTGATGATAGTGCTGGGGTAGTGTGCATGTGATGTGTACATGGGTGTGGACCCTGAAAATGCAACAATATACTATCTACTAATCTTCTACTCTAATACGTATCTAGAGTTATGTCTTTGATAACCTAAAGTTGAATCATATCATGTTTTATCACTTTTCCTCATTACTTCTTTTTTTGCCACCTCTATCCCTCCTTTTATCCCGTATAACTAACCTCTCGCATCTCCTCACTTGTTCATCTGAGCATATCTCCTCTTTACATGAATGTTTAATAAATACACATTTGTTAATACTAAACATCTAATAGGAAAAAGGGTTTGTTAAGTTGTGAAAACAAAAGAATTGAAGTATTATATTACTGGCCAATTGAAAAAATAGTAGTAGTTGTTGATGGTATGACATGTGAAGGAATAGAAAGAAGATAATATAAGTTGTTGTTGAGTTATTTTCTCATTTGTTTGAGGACAAATCAGGGGCGGAGCTATAGCCATCCATGACATGACAAAATGGACACCCTTCATTAAAAAATTACATTATATATATATATATATATATTAAATTTTGCATTTAAAAAATATATATTTAAAAGTGAACACTCTTAATAAAAGCTACGTTTTTAGCGTAGTGATAATAAGTGTCAATTTGAATGAGAAGTTTTGATTCGAACCTCAAATAACACAATATATATATATATTTTTTTTAATAGACCCTTGATAAAATTTCTGACCCCGTCACTAAAACAATCGGCTAAAGATGTGGTGTCGCGGGTATCTTTTCTTTTTTGGTATCTACCTTTTGGCTATACTTATATTCCCTATCTTAATGATGTTGTAGTTTGGCTTTGGAACTTTATATTTCAACTATTTTTTAGTTGATTCATGAAAACAATGCAACTCCCATAATTATTATTTTTGACTATTTTCAAGATAAAGCTAAACTTACTAAAATATTATTTTTGAGAATAATATAAAATAAACTTTATTTTTGAGGAAAAAAAATATATTCATCCTTAAAACTAAGAAATTTTGAGACCGAAACTCACTTCAATGTTAAATCATGACAATAAGTGATATTGCACTATAAAATTTTACAAATAAGTATTGCAGCAAAGGCGTAGTCAAAACTTTTTACAAGGAGATTTAAAAAGGTAAAAAAAGAATATCTCTAACGAGCCAAAGGTTAAGCCCTTCGGCTAATAGTGCTACTAATCATGGCATAACTTATTTTATAGCATCCTTTAAATCTTGCTTCATCAAAGTTAAAATTAATTTTCTTGAATATTTTTGTAGCGAAATATTATTATAGATTATATATAATATAACATAACATGAATATTCGATTTCCAAGAAAAAACTTGATTGTTATGGTTTAATGTAATTATAGAAAATGATTGTTATAGTATTGAGGTCTCACTGTACATAGCTTAAATGTAACTCCTTAAGGAAAAAAAAAACAAGTGAGTCTTGTGTGAAAAAAGTTACCATTATTGAAGTTTTAAGTATCGAATTACTATCCACATACTAAACATATGATATTTAAATTATTTTTTCTCTAGCCAATTTGGATTAGAATGATGTGTATATATAGTAAAATGACAAAGCTAACAACTCTTTTTAAGGTAAAGAAATAGAATGACGGAAGGCTGGGCACCGGACCGGAATGGGACCACCGGACCGGAACGAACCGGAACCGGACCGGAACGGGACGGTTTGACCGGGTTGTTGACCGGTATCGGGATGAACCGGACCGGAACTATCGGGATGGAGGCTCGGTTCCGTCCCGTCCCACTATATACCGGGATAGAACCGGGACGGACCGGAATGGACCGGAACGGAACGGGATGGGATAAACGGGACGGCACATATAGCTATTTCAAAAAATAATATTATTTTTTGAGTTATTTTGAATTACGAAAATACGAATGTTTTTTTATTTTTCTAAGTTATATTAGTTTATAGTATTTAAGTTTTAAAATTTATAATAATTTTACTTTAGTTTATTTTAAAGATTTTTTTTTTAATTTTTAAGTATATAAGTTTGTAAGTTAAGTTTAATAAAGTTTTTTTTTTAGTTTTTGAGCTTATGTAGTTATGTTATAAGTTTTAAAAGATTTGAATCTTTTGAAGTTTATAAGTTATTAAGTTATACTTATAACTTGTAAGTTAAATAACTTAAGTTTGTAATTTTAAAAAATTAAATAAACAAAAAAAGAAATGCTAATAAAAGTAAATAATGACTAAAAAATATTATTTTTTTATTTTAATTAAAAAATGATTTATCGGGACCGGACCGGACCGGAACGAAACCGGAATGAACCGGGATGAACTGGTACCGGTATACCGGTACCAAATCATGGTACCGTTTCGTTCCGTGTACCGGTTCAATGTATCCCATCCCGTCCCGAATACTACCGGACCGGAACGAACCGGAATGGTACCGGAACGGACCGGATAGGGTACCGGTACAACCCGTTCCGGTGCCCAGCCTTACTGACTCAATGACCCAACAATGGTTTATGGCAGAAAGTTTGTTTCAATGGAAATAATATCAAATACTATCTGCTTTATTATTAAAATGTAGTGCAGTGAATGAGATTTTTTCTCTTTTAACTAAAGATTTTGAGTTCGAATTCTAAGTATGAAATTCTTTTTGATAGAAAACACTTCTCATGAATAAAACGACTCTACATATCGTGAATCTAAATTAATTAAATTTAAATATAATATTAGACACCAAATAACAAAAATACTATCCACTTTATTAACCAAAAGGCATAGTCACATGAAACCCTTATCTTCATCATCTTACTTTTGTGATACAAACTAAAATATAAAATCAAAGGTCACTTTTTCCTTATGATTCTTTTTGTCTAAGATACAAGGCTCATGTGGTAATCATTTTCCTAGTTAGATAAAATTATTATTATTATCATAAAAAAACATCTTACCTAACAAATAGTTTGAAAATACCTAGGTGGACTACCAATAAGACTAATATTTGTACATCTTATTCATAGGATATGATGGAAACTGAAATTATTTTAAAATTTAATTTTTTAAGTATTTTTTTTATAAAATAAAAGTGAAGTCATTTATTATCCTTTTTTTTCTTCAAATTTACATACTGTTTTAGTTAGTGGAGTATTAATTAAATGAAACACTGAGCAAGAAATAATTTTTTTATTAAAGTTGTTAAATTTCTTTCTTAAAAGATGTATAACAATCTTAAAACGTAGGCCGACATATCTTGTTCACTACAAGAAACAATGGGTTTTTCCATTAAATATCAATGAGAATTTATGTTATAGGACGTGATTTAATATTTTCATTCATTTTCCACCAAATCAGTTAACTGAAAAATACACCAAGGAAACAACTTCCCACTGAAATTGTGGGAAGCTTCTTAGTTCTTCCATAGGAAACAATTTTTTTTCACATTGATTCAGTGAAATAATATGTGGAAATAATCATTGAACATTTTTTTAAGTAGATATTTCAGTGAGAAAATAATTAATTTTTAATAGTGGTTTAAATATGTATATAAATATAAAATATTCTGTGTAAACATGAAAAATAATATATATCACTTATTATTATTATAACAATTTATTCATTTGTTTTAGTTGTTCAAATATTCACATCACTTGCAAAAAACTTATATGAGGCCACTGCCTTAAAACACAAAAAATCTTGCCGGGAGGGAGTTGCTGTACATTAAAAGTGAAAAGCAATGTCACACTTTTTCTTTTTTCCAACATTACTTTTACTTTTGATTTTTTTGCTTTTACAGTATATAATATCCTCTTTTTCATTTTATTTTAAAATAATAATAAATAAAGTACATATTTTCTCACAATATCCATATTAATTAGCGTATAGTTTTAATAGATTTGGAAAATGATTTAGAAATGAACAACTAATGTTAAGGGCAAAACCGATTTTATTTTTTTAATATACTGAAGTGAACAAGTTAAAGTTTTTTTTAATCACAGTAGACAAGTAAATGTGAATGAAATGAGTTATAATATATTCATTTATTACATTTATTTAACCATCGACATGGTTGGATGAATTATATACACCACTAGAATTTTAGGTAATATCGCAAAAAAAAAAATGGATGTTAGTTATGTACCCTTTTTGAATGGTATTTAGTTATATTGTTTAGAATTTTAATTAGGTAATATTGTTTTTGTTAATTATCTTTAAAGAATGTGTCCACACCACTAGTTTATAATTTGCTTAATTATATCTAATCAAAAGGCAAAGAAGGGAACATCCCATGAGAGTACTCTCCAACTATAAAAGGCCAAGAATTTTTTGAATGGTAGGCAAATATATATATTCTCAAATATAATTGAAGATTACTGGAGAAAGAGAATAAAAAAATGCAAATAATTGGGAAAGTGAATTGGAACAAAACAAGAAGCAAAAGTGTAAGGCTTGGGAAAAATTACATGCAAAGAGAATCATCATCATGTGATCATGCTTCTTCTTGTTGTTGTTGTTCATTATCATCATCATCATCACCAAGGTGGCTAGCTTTTTGGAGGAGAATAAAAATGCACAAGAAGAGAAGTTTCAATAATAGTAATAATTTTTCTTGTGTATATGATGAAGAAACATATATGAAGAATTTTGATGGAGGAGAAGTTGGGAGAGTAGAGCCTGATAATCTTTATAGGTCTTTTTCAGCTAGATATGCTAGATCTTCGCGCACAAAGGAATTTATTGGGTTTTAATATGAGGAAGAGTCGAAATAGAATCAACTTGAATTCAGGAGTTGGGACTGCGCCTATTCAAAGTCTTAGTGAAACACGGGATTTCTTATCTCATGTCTTTCTTTAGTGAAAATTTGGTCTATTTAATAGTATTATTAGGTATGTTGATTAATGTGATTGGCTATTTAGTACCCTTTTAAGTTTTTGTGGTTGTAAATAAAGAGTTAATTTATTTATTTTTGCTCTGGTTTAATTCAATTGATCTTTGTTGTTTAAATTTGGCTTCTCATATACAACCAAGATTTCAGTTCAAACTCAACCATCCCTTCCCCAGGAGAGAGAGAAAGAATCAAGACTTGAAATGTCAACTTGGAGATAGCAATTTTTTACAAATTTATTTTGCAATATGAAATTTATATTTTTGGATCAAGAAAGTTGGTGATTTGGTGATAAGGGACCAACCACGGAAGCCCGATGAACAACGACCATAACTATAACTGTCCTAAGATAACGAAATTCATTATGGAGGAAGTTCTGACCCTCTCTCGAGACTACGTGAAATACACACATGATAATGTCTTCCTGCTACATTAATGCTCATGAGTTTTCACTGTGGGGTAATAATAATTAACCAAAAGTAGGACTCAATAATTGAGAAGGTACATTCTCAAATTTGATTGATGAGATAATCATAAGTCAACAATCACAGTACATTATTGTTATTTCTATGATCAATCATTTTGTAAAAGCCTATTCTGCAGCTGGCTTATTGGCAGCATGCTTACATGCAACACTCTGGTTTTGATTCTTTAACTCATCTCCAGCTACCAGAAAGAATGCAGTGTGCCTGAAAAGCAAACCAAAAAAAATGTACGCGATTCTTTCAGTCTGCACAAGTGCATTTACTTGAGGTAAGTTCAAATAAGATTTAGCTTGTACCTGAAAAAGTTGTTCATTTTAATTTTGGAGTCTTCGTCAATGTCTGTAACACTGTCTAGTGCTTGTTGCATATGTTGTAGCCATCTATCAGCAGCCTTATGAGTGACTGGAAATGGGCGATGGCGTCCAATTAATGCTGGATGACCTGCATAAGGTTCAAGTAAGAAGGTCCTTACAGTTTTTCAAACTACAAAAAGCATCAAGTACGAGAAATGAGACTACTTAAGATATAATGTAGAGGAGAAACTTGAAATTCTACATCCAACTAACTTGTCCACCAATTATTCAAAGAAAGTATTAGAACCATTGATGTTGACATCACATTTCCAGATCATCTCATGGCATGGCAGGAAGAAAACTTGACTTGGAGTTTTGATTAGCTTTAAACCTCACATATCTATCAGCTCAACCATATCAAACACTGGGCAGTTGGACGTTGATTTGCTGATGGCCTTCCTAACGGTCCTCACCATAGGAGTCCCAACAAAGCCCCAAGAAGCTTATTTTTTTTATCAATATTTTAAAGTACTGCTCTTTCTTTCTTTGTTTTTCTTTTCTGGATTCACAATTGGTCGAAAGTATTTGTTAAGCAGAATGGGGAAACTTTTCTGGTTTTGGCAGATACAGAAGAAAAATGGAAAAATCTAGCACACAAATAGCACAAACTGCTGACCAAAACTTTCAAGCAATTAACAAGCCTATCACAGTGGCAGAGGAGATTTCAATACACACAAAAGATCAATCATTACTGATCTAGCAAAAGTCTTCAAAGCCACCATCGTGGAGATAAGAACGCAGTGTAGTAATGGCTGATTGGAGAAATAGTTGATTTGCAATAGATATGTGTTAACTGATAACTTGGTTGATTGGGTAATTGCTAATTCTTTTTATGATCTAAGACAAGAACAAGAAAACTAGTTGGGATGAGGATGGATCCAAGCAAATCTAGTTACTATCTTCTAGCTGAGAAAGATGATAGGGACATGAGTGCTCCTGGTTAGTAAATAGTAACAACAACGGTGACACAGGCTAAAAGAGGGACAAACTAGTAGAGTGTAAATATGATTCGATGACCTGACCTCATTAATTCTACAGTGTCAAAGGTGAACATGTAGGAAAACACTCTTTTGGAGTTTTAAGAGCAAAGGTCAATCAAAATTCTTATTTTAGTGAAGGACACAGATGAGGAAAATATGAAAATATATGTCTAATGTTAGAGAAAATAACTTTATCACTAACTATGGAGAAAGAAATATTAAAAGAAACTGCAATTAAGTAAATGCATGAAGTGAACCACATCAATCAAGTTTCAAAACCATTATAAATTGTTGCTTTGGATGCAAAGATGAAAATGTGAAGTTTTAATGTTTTCTTATTTCCTGTCCGACTCACTAAAAAATTCATCTATAACATATTAGAAAAGAACAAGCAATATATAGCTTCGCAAACGATTTTTATTATTTACTTCCATCCTCTTCAAAATAGCGCAGGAGGGCTAACTCAGCTAAGCTGCATGTCTTAGTGTTTAGGTGCCTTCCCTAAAAGGCTCTCTAAGCAAACACGAAGGCCTACTGGAGATCTACCTAGCCCAATCCTCCTAGATATTTCCCTTATTAATCCAACAAACAAGTTTTCATCTGTTACTTTGTTTTCTACGAAAAAATCAAAATAAAAGAAATTGGATATTTTATCTTCCAAAACACTGCCTAACCTTCCCAATAGCGAAAATGGCCTTCGAAAAAAAGAAGAGAAATAACTAGCGCTAAAAACTACCTTTTATGTTGGCATAATCGGTAAACAAACACTTAAACTTGGCCTCAGCTGGCAAGTAAGCACTTTAACTTTGAGAGTGCACATCTAGACACTTCAACTTGATCTCAACTGGCAACTAAACACTCCAAACTCGTCCCAACTGTGTCTTGTGGATACCCGACGCTGACATGGCTCATAAATTTTGAAGGTGTCTAGATGACCAATTTGTAAGTAGGAGTTGGAGTGTTCAACTGACACAGTGATTATAAAGCAAGTTGAGGTATACTCAAAGTTGAAGCATTTACTTGCCAACGAGGCAGAGTTTGAGTGTTCGTTTATGTATTAAGCCTTTTTATGTTTAACGACTTGATCAATAAATCAAGAAGTGGACACTTATTAACAGACTGAGAATCTCCAGTCGTCTCATCCTTAAACAGGAGTTTTCATGGTATAATTACGGAACTCTTAAGCTGTTCCATTTTCTGAAAGAAAGAGTTATTACAACATGTTTCCACACTGATACTTATTTGAACTTTCCTATCCTACAATTATTTTCCTTCCCTTTAGTGATACTTTGCTGTTGAGAAATCACAAGTAACATAAACGCACCAAGATGGCATGAGAATAGTCATCAAAATTGTGTTTTAAGGCCAAAGACTCCAGAAAAATGATCAGCATTAATAAATCCTAAACATCTGTAGAACACCAAAAATTTAGGAAACAGGACAAAGCACTCTAAACTCTCCAAATGGGATTTTATAAAGCAAGCTTGCTGACAGTTTCTTTCTCCACTACTAAACTAATTAAAATGCAAACAAATTTTCATTCTCGAAAGGTTGTGGCATCCAGTAATACAAAGAATCCTTCTTATTTCATTTGCAATTTTGGTGTAAAGAGAGAATGCTATGTCGTATTGCTAGTTGGCCAAGTTTATAAGAGGATGGTGAAGGACTCAGTTCAAATCACTCTCACAACTTTGTTACTTTTCTTTTTCACATGGACTTGGTGTTTATTCAGATTGATTAATCAAGAAAATGTTGTGGACGCTCAAAAGGCAGAAAACTTAGCCTTCAAAGGTGGTATGTTACTAACATCACATGCTCTGGACAAATAAACCTTGAAGAATATTATAAAAAGGGAACCATTTTGAAAAAGAGAGGTTTATTTCGGTCACAAATAATCTTTATCACAGATATCAAAGAAGTTAACTTTACGCTTTCCAATCTCAATAAAAAGTTTGAAGGTTCAGTTTAAAGTTTATGAGAAAAAATAGATTCAATCTCAAGAATTGAGGTCACCATAAAACAGCATCACAATAGACGGATATATCAGGTAACTACCTTCGGCAAACTGAAACTAGGGATGTAGAAGACTGGGTATAAAATAAAAAATCAAGATAACATTTTCTTACCTTTTCTCTCTGAGTACAAAGGAGGCCCTCCCATTCTCTGTACAAAGAATTCATATTGATTCCTAATGGCATCTTCTTTACTTGAATTAGAGAAAATTGACCGAAACCACTCTTCCTCATCATCATACACCCTAATTTCAATTTCAGAAACAAGAGTCAAATATCTTCCCTAAAGAAAGGTAAACCATTACAAGAACAACATACCCAGTGAAATCTCTCAAAGTGGAGTCTGTGGAGGATAGAGTGTATGCAAACCTTACCCCTACCTCACGGAGGGTAGAGTGAATGCAGACCTTACCCCTACCTCGTGGATGTAGAGAGGTTATTTCCGAAAGACCCTCAGCTCAAGTAAAGCAAATCAAAGTAATGATGGAAAAGAAAAATGGCAGTAAAGAAAACATGACAACTAATAGTACATGCAAGGAACAGTGACAACAATATAGTGGGATCACCTAACCATAGTAAACAATAGATGATAACATATACCAAAAGCCAGAAACTACATAAATAAGGCTAATATCACGATAGACACGATGCTCTAGACTACCATCAAGCCCTATCCCGTCGAAAAGTAAGACAATGTTCGACTATCTACTAACCTTCTATCATAATTCGCAACCTGTGTACCTCCTATCATAGAGGAGAAAAGTGCACAACTCTATCAATCAACCTCCATTTCAAATAAGTAATATGAAGACAACTTTGCCAACTTATCCACAGTAAGTTTAAGCCATCAATTGATTCCTTGACAACAAAGATTCGAGAGATCTTGCCCACCCTCCTACCCCAAAAAACCAACCACACACACTCAAAGAAAGGGCACAATAACCTTATTTTTGAACCACCCAAAGGAGCACTTCGAACAAGTATTAGTGAAATATAAAGTCTAATCTCAGTTTTCTAAAACGAAAAACAAGATGTCTTCCCTCATGAGGGTAAGCCATCTGAGGAGAAAAAGTAGGCAAATCCAACAATTACAATATCACCAACTTCATTCCAAACAAGTAAACTAAATACAAAATTCAGAATTTCAGAATCCAGCTTATATTATTCACAGTAACTTCTATCACTAATCGGTTTCCTTAGCGTCTAAGGATATACTAACACAACAAAAGATTCAACAAATCAAGGATCCCTGTAACACCTCTTTTGCAAATGTAACAGGACAAATACAGTTCAGTGCTTCTACAAAGTAATTATAATAACTAGTCATTGCACTGGTAGAGAAAAAAGATTAGATTGGTCATTGTACTAGTAGCGTCTACGACCCTCCCACTTCGGCACCATCTCCTTTTTTACCAGCCGAGCTGCCCTGTCAACCCTTTGGGGCGCTTGCTTCCTAGCTAGAACTCACACAGCTCAAACATCATAAATGAGAACTAAGCATAATCTGACTCCCTAGCGCACAGAGCAAGAGTAATCTACTTTACTCGAGAAGAAGAAATTGTTGAGTTTGCAATCAAACATACAGAACTTCCTTACCAATCAGTAAAAAGGAAATAAAAGAAAAGAGAACCAAATTGTCAATATAATCAAGGATTCATAAATCCTTACTAATCCCACCCACCACACACAAAAGCAACAAAACACATTAACCTCATTTACCTTCAGATTGACACACAAAACAAAAAGCCCAACCCAAAATACAAATAGTAATTCAATTCAACCAAAAACAAATTTTGTTACATACACATTTAAGGAAACTGAAAACCCATCAATAAAAAACATTTATTTTTTAACATAATCATTAGAAGGATGAACCTGTTGTAGAAATTGGTAGAGAGATTGATGAAAGTCTGAAGACCAAGTTTTTCAAAGAGATTGGTTTCATCAATGGCGAATGCATCATTCGGGTCAACCCCACTCCATTCCGACGCCTTCTGCTGCAAAGATTGCATTTTTTTCTTGCTTCACTCTTTGTTGGCAATGGCTGCTGAGTGCTGAGAGAGTTGAAGAAGGTGAAGAGCGCGCCTTTATATACGAGCTTATGGCGGTCGCGTGGATGACACGCCTTTTCGTCTGAAAGTGGGCCTTTGTGGGGGCCATATTAAATAGTGTCATGGCAAATTGAAGAAACGTGAATGGATGGTTCTTCATTTTTAAAATTTTTTTTTTTTGGGAGGAATCTGATTCCAGTTTTACTAAACTCATTTTAGATACGCAAAAAGATTTATTTTTTTTACCAGAAATAATCTTCAGGAAAAAAAAAAGATACTATATGCAATATAATATTTGAATAAGCTAAAAAAATGACAAGTTTGTGGAATGACATTCATTTTCAAGTGAATGTTTTAGGCAGAATGACCTCGATTGGCCTTGTACTTGATTCAGGTTATTAATTATTTTTTTCTACTCACGACTTTGACAATTAAACACTTAAATTCAATAAAACCCATTTTTTATTCCAGAAATGTGATATGGAGGCATCTTAAATTAAAAACTCTTACCTATTTTTGTTTTTATTTTGTTATTTTTTGATAACGGTGGGCTCTTGATTCCCATAGTTTTTTACTTTCTGGGTGTAGACATTATGAGGTAACAATGTCAGTCCTGAAAATATACTCTGTGGACACAAGTTAGGTGAAAGGTGGATAATTAGACATTGTTGCAAGTAGAACCAAGGGAGTTCATAGTTTCCATCCTTTACATTTTAGTCTCAATTTTCTATTCCTATTTCTTTAAGACCCTAAGTTAGTTTATTAGGGTAGTATTGTCATTTCTGTTAGTCTAGGGTTCAGTTTTGCATTGTATAAATACCTTGTTATGTACTCATTTGGGAGATACGAATGAAATGATCCTTAGATTAATTTTGCCTAGCTCTTACCTTAGCTTAGTTTGTAGCTTGTTTCCTTCTCAAATTCCATTCTTGCATCACACATAATTATTTAAAACTGAGAAAAAAATTTAAGATTTTTATTTAAAAATAAGTTATAGATATTTGTATAATTATAAATATTTTATTTACGAATAAAATAGATATTTAAAATTAATTACTCCATTTCATCATAATTTATATGTCCTCATTTGAATTCGCACATTTTTAAAGAAAAAGTAATTTTTTTTGTTTATGGTCTAAAATAAACCTGTAGCTGTAAATAAAAAAATAATTGAAAAGTAAGTTGTTTCTAATATAGAATATAAATAAGACTAAAAATGTCACATAAAATTGGATAGTCCAAGAAAAGAATGTTTTAGAAACTTGAGACCATCTACATCTGGTGAAGCTACAAAAAATTGTGTTTTTTGTTTTTCTTTGGAGGGGGGGGGGGATATATTAAGAAGGAAAAGAAGCAAAATGTTTCTCAACACAAGGTAGCCTAACGCAAGGGGAAAAAACAGACAAAACAATTCAATCAAGATGAAAGAGCTATTATTAAAATCCTCCAGCCAGGAAAAATTTTACCAGCCAAGCTTTTGTGCTATTGAAAGGCCACATACGACTGTTATTGAGTAGATACTACAATCCATAAACACTGCACCCATAATGCTTTGCAATAACAATCCCAGCTCCAGAGCCTTTCCAATTTGATCAACCATACCAGCGCCAGGGATACCGTTTGCCGCTGCTTTTTGATTCCTCTGTGACCCAGCTTCTTCTGCCAGAAGGCGCGCAATAACAATCGATATGTTGGTCAACATCAGTAGCATAAGAGGTCTGAAAAACATGACCACCTTGAAGAAGTGGCTGTTATAGGACACAAGAACCAAAATGGCAGCCACAAGGGAAAAGTTGAGGCGGATACTCTCGGAAGCTGCAATTGCAGAACTAATTTTATTTGGGGCGAAAATGTTGTGATAGTTGCTCTTCAGTTTTGAAAATTGACCCCCATCAGAAGCAGAAAGGCATGGAGGATTTACAGCAGATGAATCTGGAAATAATTGCTCTTTGTCATCAAGATACAAGGCAGGTGCACTTGATGTTTCAATGTTTGACTCACATTTTCGCATAAATGGAGTTGTTCTGTTTTTTCCATCAGATTCTTCATGCTCGACAGGCTCGATTCCATGATCACCATCAAACAACAATGGTCTAGCGGCCTCGTTCCCACTAATAGAAACTGTGAAGTAGCAATAAGTGAGTGTCAAGTACAATAAGCACTCCCCTTAATAGAAACTGTCAAGTAGCAATAAATGATTGACCAGTATAATAAGGACTCTCCTTAATTGAAACAGTACAAGCACTCTCAAGAAGGGAAACAAACAAGAACGTGAAAGCACCAATGTCATGCTTCACATGCCTACTTTTTAAACAAGAGCTAAGAGAATATATTTGTTGGGGGTTGTTTGGTAGAGTGTATTAGGAAAAGTAATGCATGTATTCACCTTCTGTATTATTAGTACCTTGTTTGGTACTTATTTCCAACCTATGTATAACTAATGCTTGCATTAGTTATAGACTCTATTGTGTATAAAGGTGTGTATTACTAATACCATTAATTTCTAGGTATTAGCAATGCAATGGTTTTAATGCATGCATTAGCATAATTAAAGACTCAATTGCCCCTCAAAACCTTTTTTTACATCTTTTCCACCATAAATAATAGTTGAGAGTATCTTTGTAAATAATTTTTTTATGCAATGCATGCTATTTTTAATGCATCAAACCAAACAATGCATAAAAATAATCTATGTATGATTAATGCAAGCATAATTAAAACATGCATTGCTAATGCAAGCATTACTAATACACTCTATTTAGCATTATTCTTATACACTCTACCAAACGATCCCATAGCAAGCCTGGGATCTATAAGTAGTACAATCTAACTCTTACAATATAGGCACTAAAAACAGCAACAAACAATGTAACGCTAATAACACAAGCACTATAAACCACATCACTGTGACATCTAACTCTCAACAAACTCATATATTCTTTCCTTCCCAACAACAACATACCCAGTGTAATCCCACAAGTGGAGCCTGGGAGGGTAGGATGTAAGCAGACCTTACCCTAACCTTTGATATTCTTTCCTTCCCATTGAACAAAATTGAATTTTATAACAAAAGGTTATAGCAAGATTTTCTGACCCCAGAGATGGGGGGAGGGGGTACCACTGTTGCTTAAAATTTTCAATTATAGAATGAGTTCGGGACCAAGATCTTCGACATGCAACATTTTATTTCTGATTAAACAGGCCTCTAGCAGAGTCATTGACAGGTTTATAGTCCAAGGCTCCAAGCTAACAAGAAAGATGTTGTAGGAATGTGGAAATTCCCAGAATGATTTAACTTTTCAAGCTACTGGAGAGTTTTCAAGGAATCCAAACAGGTGAAGACTATTTATGGTGGCATGGGCACAAGAAAGGAAGATACAGGGTGAAGGAAGGATATAAACAAACAAGTCTTAGGGAGAATCAAGGCTTCAAATGGCCTTGGAAGCAAATCTGGAGAGTCAAAATGTCACAAAAAGTTTCATGCTTCACCTGGTTGCTAGCCAATTAAGCAGTTTTGACATTGGACAATGTGGCCAAGAGAGGTATATCTCTATGCAACAGATGCTCCTTATATGGTAAGGATACAGTTTCTACACTGCAATTTCACTGACCAACTGTGGCAGATTTTCCTTAATCTCAGAGGCATTTCCTGGAGTATGCCTAGTAAGATTGATGAGACTCTTTTCAGTTGGGAGGAGGCTGGAGTTGGGGCTACAAACAGAGAAAGATGGAGGATGATCCATGCTTGTATATGGTGGACTATATGGAGAGAGAGAAATGATAGATGTTTTGAAAATAGGGACAACAACCTGCAGGAGCTTAAATGTATTTTGTTGTTCTGTTTTGGTGTACAAATGTCTACTCCAATGAGACTGAGTCAATCATACATGTTTTAGGGTCCATCTAGATCATGGTTTAGCATTGGAAAGACTATAATCTTTTTCTCCTTTTTTGTAAATATGGTTTTTCCTGAAATACAAATGTTACTAGTGTCAAAAAAAAAATGTGAGTAAGCAACTGCTAAGCACTAATGAGATTGGGAAGTGTATTTAGATTCTCTTTTTCCTGTAACGATGATCTACTCTAACGTAGATCTGAAAATCGTTATAATCAGATCAATGCAAAAACTTTTGAGGTAAAGGAAGTTCACATATATGATGGTCTTTCTCCTCGATGATTAGGAGCAGGGTTATCTACAGGACATATTGTTGCGAGGGTGGAGATACAACAGACACTGATTGCCTGAGGCTGAGAAAGGCGCAGTTCTGTGCTAGCCCTTGATTTTGACTCTTTAAAGCAAGAATCGAAAAGCCTTCCTAGGGGTGGGCGTTCGGTTATTCGGTTCGATTTTATCAAACTTCGGTTTGATTTTCGGTTTTCGGTTTTAGAAAAGTGTGCACCGTATATTAAACCAAACTAATTCGGTTCGGTTCGGTTTAGTTCGGTGTTTTTAAATCGGTTTTTCGGTGTCAATGAAATAAATAGGATAAAGTATAAGATACTTAGAAATTTTAAACTATGTTAAGGAATGATGTGTATTACCGTGGAACACTTATTGTGCTAACTAAAAGACTATAATTTTCTTCCATATTTGAGTTATTCCTTCCTTAGAGGAAATGCTTGGAATTTTGTAAATTGAAGACCCCTCTTCTCATATCGAAAACATAAGTTCCTTTACATAATGTACATTGGTAGAAATATGTTTGAGTTTCTCTTGGAAATTAATATTTCAAGTTAACTATTGAATTGTACATTTGGTGTTACTTTGTTTGTACATGAATGATTTAATTGTTGATTGAATTTCAGTGCACCGAAGTTTTGAGACCCTTACACCGAACACTGAACCGAAGAACCGAACTTCCGAAAAAATAGCACCGACACCGAACCGAAGAACCGAATTAGTTCGGTTCGGTTCGGTTTTTCGATTTTCCGGTATTTATGCCCACCCCTAAGACTTCCCCTATGATCAATGAAAGCCATCAAGAAAAACTCAAACAAATCAACAAGGAGAAATC